CAGCAGGCTCGTAAAGTATAATTTCTAGATATAAGATAGCAATTCCATTTCAGAATGTTAATTACTTTGGAAAAAAAAAAAAAGATAATGAATTCTTTCATCTGTCTTCAAAGTAAATATGAGAAAGGGAGGAAGAATTGTTCTATCTCAAATGCAGAAACTTCATTTGCTTGAAGTTTAGACTTCATTATTTTGCCCGTCTGCAAGCTGGTCTGAAAAAGTGCCTGCAGTTACAAAGTTGTTAATTTGGAGGTGTGAGTTGTTTTTTTTTTTTTTTTTTTTTTTTCCATTACCAATTAATTCAGGAGTCATTTTCAATTTCTCATTCCTTATGTGTAAGGATTTTAAGAAAAGATAATTGCATGCATCAACCTACTGCATTTTAAAGTCAGGTGTCCGGCTTTATTGTTCTTCAAATTTAATAGTAGCGATGGAGTATCTAATGGTTTGTTGCTGCTTGATGGTTCAGGTGGTACCCCAGAAATTTACTTTTTGGAGAATACACATTTATGAGCAGCCTGAGTCTGGACATAAATTATTCATTCAAGGAGTGATTTAAATATCTGATTTCTTTTTATTAAGTGAAGATATGAACTAACTTCCAGCACTGAATATTGTAGAAAGTGAATATTTTGTAAACATGTAATGAGAGTTGTGTTCTTGCTAGAGTAAAGCACAGAACCCTTTGGTAAGGCCTTCTGCAGTGCCACGATTTATTAACTGATATTGGATATTAGTTGCCTACATAGACTTTATGAGTACTGAACAATAAATTCTGAATGGCCTAACAGAAGATGCCACTTTCCCTTAAGATAACAAAGGTTTTATATCTAATAAAAGGAAAAGTCTGACATCTTATACTGAGAAATCTGGAGATCTCTGACAGGGACCAATAAAAAAAACCCATCAGTAAGAATCCGTTAGTGAGAAATAAAATATTGTTGTGAAACAACAACAACAAAAAATCCTTCCTTCTAATATTCAAGTTAAGGTGGATGTGGAGAAGTCGGTTATCAAAGTGCTAATTAATATTTCTTTCATTTATTTGTTAGTAACTTGAAAGAAAATGAGCGAGCAGGTGAAGGCTCTGAAATATAAACTGGCCTGTAATCTGGGATACTTTCAGTTGGTAAAGTCCACAGAGCACAGTGAAGACAGTCTAAGTCTCTGAGTTAAATGATTTTTGTAATAACAGATGAAAATCTGTTTTAATAAATTGAAGACAAGACAGGAAGTGACTGTGGAAAATAGGGACCACTTTCCTGTGGTTTGAATTAACTGTATTAGCTGGGCATTATAGATAAAACTCAATTAAGTTCTCAATGTTCATTGCGTACTTGAGGCACCAAAAGTTCCACAGGAACTTAAGGAAACATTTCTTGGCAGTGAGGGTGACAGAGCCCTGGCACAGGCTGCCCAGAGAGGTTGTGGAGTCTCCTTCTCTGGGGATCTTTAAAACCCGCTTGGATGCAGCCCTGTGCCCCGTGCTCTGGGTGACCCTGTGTAAGCAGGGGTGTTGGACTAGATGACCTCTGAGGTCCCTTCCAACCTTAAGCGCTCTATGATTCTATGATTCTATGATTCTACTTGGTTAAAAAAAAATACAATGTACATTTTCATTTAAAATCCAGTTGATATAATGGCCTTGATGACTACAGACGGAGTAAACTTGTAGAGTCTAATAAAATGAAGATTATTTCAGAGGTGAGAAAATGTAATAGGTTTAGTGTAAAATAGAAAAGATAATCCATAACTTCCATTTTTACTCTCATTAAGCAAGAAAAAGGTATAGGAAGCTACATTAAATACATTCGAATTTATTACAAACTGATAGGAAGTCTTCCAAAAAACCTAATTGTACTGTGAAATATGTGGTCCAAGTTGCCAGAATTAACAATTTAACAAGATTAAAAGTATTTTTAATTTATATGGATAGAATGGAAATCCAGAATGGAAAAGTTAAAAAAAGGAAAAGAAGAAAAGAAGAAAAGAAGAAAAGAAGAAAAGAAAGAAAGAAAGAAAGAAAGAAAGAAAGAAAGAAAGAAAGAAAGAAAGAAAGAAAGAAAGAAAGAAAGAGAAAAAAGCATTTGAAAGAGAATTAATTAATAGACTTTGGACAACATATCATTACTGATTAGGAAGAGCTTAAGTTGGAAGACAAGTCATCCCATGTCTGATTATTGCACCTTTTTCAAAGCTTTGTTTGGGAGAAGGAGACCAGACTAAGAAGATAATTTGTAGGATTTAATCCGGCACCTCACCATTCCTAGGTTTGTCTTGGACTTCTTTCAGAGTCTCTTCAGGATAGTGCTGAGGAACCACTGTTGAAAAGTGAGTTAGCAATAAGCTCTTGCTACACATCCACCAGGGACTAAAGACAGCAGCCTAAAATGAAGTGGACACGACATAAATAATAGTCTGATAGTAATCCACTGCATTTTGTGAGCACCAAAGTCAGCTTCCATTTGCAAAATGATTGTGTTTTGTTGTTTTGTTTTGTTTTTCAGAGAATAGAGATGGAACAAACCTGCAAAACTTTCTTCTTATTTGAGACAAACATTAATGAATTCTTGAATAAGTGAAAACCAAATGTAACTACATAACAAGTATGCATTGGAAGTAAACACAAGTTTTTGAACTCCTGGAAAGACTGCTAGAGTGCAGTAGATTAAATATTAATGATTTCATGCATTAATATTTTAATAATTTCCAGAGAACTCTTGGATTGCATAGTGTAATGTCTGAGCTTCTGCTGTGCTACTAATGGTGGCAGTGCCTTTAAAGTGATCCTGTTACCTCATTTCTGATGAATGATGGCACTAAAAAGGTGTGGGGTGAGGGAGAGAAATAACTTGTCTGCTGTATTAGAGAAGGGAAAGGGAGAGCATGCACGCCTGTGAGCGGGCAGGAAATACTAGAACACTGAGGCAGATACTCAGTGTCACATTATCCAAAATGATGATGCTTTAAAACCCCAGAATTGCATAAGATTCATAAATGGGTTTGGAGAGGAAGATTAATCTGCAGATTTCAATAATTTGTCCAAAAATACTGTTTGCATTTCATTTCTAGAGCAGGCAAAACTTTTAGTGAGATTTCAGAAATCTTTTATTCCAGGAAATAATGGAGCTGATTTCTGCCTAGTTGAGTGGGATTGGTCCTTTCTTTCTTTTGTGCCTGTTTATGTAGCCTTTGTGAAAGCAAATTCTTATCAAGAGCTCTAAATCTCAGCTTGTTTTGTTCATGTTTTCCTCAAATATTTGATGTCAGTAAACATCAAATCACTATCACAGAAGTGATACCCAGAGCGTTACATCACTACTGTTACCTCATCTATGATAACAAGGTCAGGTCCTAACCGGGACCTGATAAGGATAACAAGGGTAACAATGACCTTTTATCCCCCTATTACTACTGTTTATCAAATCTGTAATCTTTTTTGCATTAAGGGAAATTACCTCCTGAAGAAACTGCCTTAAGGGTGAATTTCTAATCCATCTGTAAGTCAAAAACAGGCATCAAACCGGCAGATACTTTGCTCTTCTGTTGGATCTTGCTGCTTAGTGATGCAAATTGACATGGAGCAGAACAGTCCCATGAACTAGCAGAGCACATTGCCTGCAAAAGATAATTACAAAGTTATTCAAGGGTTTTCTCAGATTCACTCAAACGGTCTCTGTCCATTTCCTAATAAATGGCAGAAGACGCCTCTCTGAAAGTGTCTAGGGGATCAATGGTCTCCCATCCAGTGAGGAAATAGAGAACTGTATGAGATTTGTCTTCTGTGCTACTTCTGTTCCTGAAAAAGGTTTTGGAAACCAAACGGCCACTGTTAACCCTCAGAATCTTCCTACAAGCAAGTAAAAATGCAAAGCTCCAGTAAATCACAAAGATGTGGAGCACACAGGAGCATTTTAAGGAAAACCCAACCCAAACCAAAAAAAACACCCTCAAAGATGACCATGCAGAAATTCTTTCTGACCCAAAATCTGGAGAACAAGTATCAAGAAAGCAAGACGATGCCTTATTCTATTCTGTCAAAAGAACAAAATTAAGTGATTTGAAAGGATACATTGTGTTTTCCAGGATTAAAGCAAAACAAAGTGATACGCTGTATATTTTTTTCAGACACTTTAGCAACACTCAAAATTCTTACATATCAAACTACCTAGAGTAGACATAGGAAGAAGGCAGTACTATTGCCCACAAAATCTCCCTCTCTCTGCACAGAATGAAAGCATTTCATGTGGTGTGAAGGACTCTGGACTTCCTTTTCATTATGCATCGTTTCTGTAAGGAATTTCTCTTTCTTGCTAAGGAATGGATGTCTTCAGCTGTTAGCTTCAGCTGTTAACTTACAGTGTCCTACCAAAGATAGGAGACAAAACTAAAAGAAAAATGCATGTGTTTATAAATTTTGCCACAAAAAGTAAAGAAAGGATAAAAAACTCCCTTAGAAGATCAAAATATGCAAAATATCACAAATACTAAACCATAAACATGGAATTGTATGCTAGCATCCAGCTTCAAACCAAGACTTGCATAGACACGCAGTGCTGCACATTAAGGCAAAGGTAGTGAGAACACCTGAATGGATGGTGCAAAGGAAAGAAAAACCCTTAGCAGGTTCCTATGATCCAAGGAAAAGTACCCTGATGTCCATATTTTTAAAAATTCAAGACAAATTACTTTATTTTCCTACTTACACGATTTATTTGAGAAATGCTTGTGTATTTGTAAAAAGTTCATACCCCCACAATACATTGTTAACAGAGTTATACTGTGACATAAAAAGATCCCCATAGTATTTTCCCAGACCTAGGTCAGTCTCAGCTGATTCTGACATCAGTCGGGTTTTTTTTGGACATACAGGATGATAGCCTACCCAAACAATAAAAACATGTGCTGACATTTCAAATGTGGACTTTTATTATGCAGACTGTTTTAATTTCAGAATATTATGTTCACCCATACATGAAGGAATGTCACATAGCAAAAAAAATGACACATAGTAATACACAGAAGGACAGTTGGCTACAGAATCAGAGACAAATAGGCACGAAAGACAGAAAATGTACAGTCCCTTAAGAAAAAAAGCTTATTTTTAAATAGAATGGGCTCACATGATGCTTGTTCTGTATATGTACCACACGCCTTTGCTTAATTAGGGATATTGCTGTACAGAAAGAAAAGTGTTAGAAAGCACAAAAGCAGCAGCTTGTGAAGTAACTGAGATTTGATAAGATTAGGTTGTTAAAGAAAAAACGAGATTTTTGTAAAGGTAAATTTATAGAGGATAACAGAAGAAAGCAGAACTCTGCTAGTCAGAAAGCTTTTGTAGCTGTCAAATTAAAATTCTGGAGAGTAACTGAAGAATAGATACTTAGAAATGTAATTATAGCTGTCATTACCATAATGAAATAAAACAGATTGCTGATACTAGAGCCTAAGATCTATACACTGTATTAAGGACAAAAAATTTTATATACATTATGGAAAAAAAGATCTAGAATTAAAGACAATTCAGTTTGTGAGAAATTAACATTAAAATAAAAACAATGCAGTCTGTCTTGAGAAGTTCTCACCTAAGTTTTGTTGTGCATCCTAGGGATTTGTTTCACTTGGACAAAATAACTTTATCAGTTTCTAAAAGTCTTTCTATAAGTATAAACACCACTTGAACCGATTGCAGAATTGTTTTAATTATTGTGTGTTTGAATCAATGGCATTTATCACTGAACTGTAGCCAAAAACTCCAATATGTCAATATTTTAATTAGAAAATGCCATAATGCCATCATAAATTAAACAGTCCAAGACAGTACATGCTTCCTAAACAAGAAATAAACAAAATTTCTTCTATGTATCTATGTATGGATCTCCCTGTACACTAATTTTACTGCTACTTTCCTGAGAAGGGAAATTAGATAGAATGTCTCCTACAAGCTTAACAACAAAAATTTTTGATTTATCCAACACTAGTTACATTTAAAATGACTAACTGTATAACCAGAATTCATACAATGTCCTACCTCCAGCTCTGTCTGGTGTACATATTAAGAATGTACATTAAAGTTTCATCTGTGGCTACGAGCAGTTAGAAGCAGAGCTGTTTTCACAGTGACTAATCTTTCATTCTTTAAACGTACACAAGACTGCCCTATAATCTTTTCTCAAAAAATGTTTACTTATATGAGAAAGGTCTCTGGGTGGCTTAGGTAACATAGATAACAGCATCCAGGCAGGACCCTGGGAGACGTTTACATTTGGTCTTGCTGATAAACTTTCTTTAAGGTTTTGTAAAGGACATGCACTGTGGGTCTAAACATATACTATACTACCAACTGTACAACCTGCACTCAGAAAGGAAAGTGTAAATCCTTTCCTCCATTTATCAGTGTTTTTTAAAGCTGTACAATCAATAGGTAGTTACTTTCAAGTAGCAGTATTTCAAATTGACAGTAGTCTCTGTGCTTCGCTGTCGCTTGCAGGCCCCGCCTCTTAAGTGCACATTGGCTGATTACTTTAAAAGGTTGGTGGAACTCTTGTCTTATTGAATATTCCTAGAAATGTATCATAATACAGAAAAAAAATCTTTAACTGTTCCACAATTGTTGTCACAGACATTTGTAGTCTTGCATAAATACATGGTGAGCACAAGGTATAAACAAAGCCTTTTAAAGAATTTCCAAGTGTATTGTTTAATCCTTTAATATATTTATGTAACTCAAATGAAGATCAGAAACATTCTTTAAGCTTTAAAAAAAAAAAACAACTGAAAAGAAAGTGCCCATCCTTTAAGAGACCCCATACCAGAATTTCACAACCTCCAATTTAATTTTTTGGTGACTATATATTTTCAGCCTTCTTTTTATAGCTTTCTAGAATACTGGTCAAGGATGACAATAGATCTTCAGACATGAATTCTTCATAATCTTTCTCATTTTTCTCATTCTGTTCATCGATATATTTCTAGAAGAGAGTTACAAAAGTTCATTAGAAGTATAGTGCCTCTATAGCATTGCAACTACTAAAGCATTTCAAGCTGTTACTGCATGGGATAAGTGCTAACGGTCAAGTATTTCTGTGGCTTTCAGAGAAGATTGACTGGATCAGAGTCCTGCCATTTAATGATTACTGCTGATTATCTGTAACAAATTGTGGACAAAGTATTTGTTTACTAGAATTCATAAACTCAATATAGAATCCATTAATCCCTGATACCTGACTGAAAAGAGTAAGTTCTAAAACTCATACATTTAATTGCAGTTGTAGATAACTGTAGAAAGATTCCACTCTGAATATTAAATATTTGCTTACCTCTACAGATGCTACATGAGTAGTAATCACTTCCAGAAGACGATTCAAGTTATCACCTGCTCTCCTGCTCTCCTCTGTTTTTGTTTGCATAACAACTTGGTATCTAGGAAATAAAGACCCTCAGGAAGTCACATTGTAAAATTCCTGGCAGCTGAAAAGATCTCTTAGCAAAATATCTTAGCAGAAATAGGACCATAGTGTGCTAATTAATATGAGAAACAAGTACATTACAGCAGTGTATTTAGAACTAGAATTGTATCTGCTTATACATTTTAAGATGTATAATGTAGTTGTCAAAATTATTTGGAAATAAATTAATAACCGTACTACAATGGCCTGCAGATACATGGAAAGCAGGAGCGCACTGATAGAAGAGATTTCTTGAATTTCCTAGCAAAATACTAAGTGCCTGGGAGAAATATAATTATGTTATGTTAGAACTTAGCAAAATGTCTGTATCCTTAAAAAACAGCAACAAACCAAACAATAAACCCCAAAACTTAATGTCATGGGCCTTACTGTCGCTGAACATCATGCAATTCATTTGTGGCTTCACTGAGACCTTCATTGATGCCGCTCTCAAGTAAATGTTTGTGATTCTCTAATAATTCCAGCTCACTTGCACATTTTTGCTCTTCCTCTTCTGCTTCCTGCAAGTGAAAGCAAAGAGAAAAACGAAATAATTAGAAAATTTCTTTCTGAATATTACTCATCCTCATATTTGAATTAGCAAACAGATGCAACTTCACACTCATTGCTCCAAGTTAAAATTTCTGTATTGTCCTATAGTGTAAACCAATGTAAGCTTCCTTTTACCCCTCCATCCTCATCTCAAGGTATGTGTTGTAGCTATCTTCCCTTCAAATTCAAATGAAAAAAAATATTATGTGCTTACTCTCCAAATAGCTTAAAAATGGAACATCACAGACTATTTTGAAGCTACTTTGAATTACAAACTTTTCCCTTTTGGCTCTGAAAGGGACATATGAATTACTACTAGTCATTTCTGTAGGGAGAATGACACTGCAGACAGCATACACAATACTCTGAAACCCATGAGAGAACCTAAACAAATTCTACCATCACTAAATAGTCAGTTTTGGTAAAGCTTAGTATTACATAAATATTTTTGAAATACAATGTTTCATTAACTCAGCTTATGAATGGCACAAATATGTATGAATTACATGACTATGTCTCATTATAACCTCTCCACTAATTAGGAAGTATTTATAATGAACTTTCCTTAAAAACAAAAACATGTATAGCAAAGATTAAAAGATGAGCTTCATATATTTTTGAAAGTAACAAATTAAATCAATTACTTTCAGTCACCTAGGCAGGATGTTAGCAATGACATAGCCCTCTGCTTTATGGTTATATCACAGAAGTTTAGATTTGAAACAGCAAATATATTAAACATCAACTTAGTTCAAAAACCACTTTTCTCTTGAGTACTATGTGCTTGCCAAAGCCTCAAGACACATGACATTCAAGACCTCAAACTGCTGACTGGGAGGGCTCTTTTTGTTCTTAAACTGAAAGTAAAGGTAAGAAAAAGGAGAGGGACTGCTCCCTCTTGGTGGGGAGAAGGAACAACACTATGATATTTAAAACATGCTTTTAATCAAATAAGATTTTCCCCAGCTTTAATTTGGTAACACATTTAATACAAAATGTAATAATTATTATTATAAATTAAACTGACCAAACAAGTAAAGTAAAGAGTCTGGCAAAAAAGAGTTTTTTGAGCTTTTCTTTTTTATCTGAAGAGATAACTAAGATGAGATGGGTGGAAGGAAGAGAGGGCAGATGCTCACCCTTGATGCCCCATCTTCCTCCAAAGCAAAGAATAAACACAAAATTAAGTATATCAAAATAAGACTTACCATAATGAATGGATTACTAAATTAAACAAACAAGAAAAAAAAAAACCCACAACTTTTCATTAAAGATAAATTCTTAATTGTCATCAAGCTATAAAAATGTTCTACCTTAAGTTTCTGATGGTAAAGATCATCCAGCTTTTCAGCCTCTTCTTTCAGCATTTTCACAATGCTTTTCCTTTCTTCTGTCATTGTGTTCACCTAGAAATAAAATTGTAATGAAGACTGAATTGTAATGATTGAATTGATTGAATTCTTTTAAAAGCGAAATACAACATACAACTTCATTGCATTACAGATAACAGTGGTGATAATTAAAAAGCACTCACTCTAGAAGTGTATATTTAAAACAATTTCTGTTTCGTACAAATATAAAGAAACGTATTTTCTTTCAAATTTGTACCAAATTTGTACAAATATTAAGTGCCATTTGATATCTATACAGTTTAACTTTTTGCCCTGTAATCATATTTTTTCCAAGAAGAGAGGGATGAAAAAAATATCTTCAGTATCTACAATGTTAAAAGCTTCTGTTACCTTTAAAGGATCTTTGAATATAAAGTTCTAAACCATAAGCAATTGACACTGAAAACTCAGAAAAATATACTAATATTTTCAACACTTCAGCGTCCAGGTTTGGTTTCAACCAAGTCACAAGGACTTTCCAAAAAGCTTTCCAGAGGCTTTTACGCCTTTGAAGTAACCTATAACTCTCAATAAGAACAGTTTTTTGAAATCTCCATGTGAAATTTAGCATAAAGTTTAGATCGTTGTTTCCCAGGGACAGAAATTTTACAACTGGTCCCTTAATTTCTTCAATTTGTCTTGCAACATGTTATCTGACCAGAAATTTTCCTTGTTCCAAGCCCTTCTGCATCTAATATTGTTAGAAATCTTGCCAATGACAATTAGCAAGTGATGGCCAACTAGGAAACCAGATTGTATTAAACAGCTTATTTAAATATTAAACTCAAATCTTTCAGATCTTTATGGTCATTAATTATATGTAACTGCATAATCTTCAATTTCAACATTCTTTCAGCTAATAGAGACCCTAAAATTCTCACAAAAGCATTCAGGCTCCATCATAATTAAAGCAATCACCTTACTACTTCCCTCTAGAAACACTTCAACTGACTAAAGAGTCAGCTCAGACTAGCAGATGTCTTTATTATGTCTCTGATCCTAATCTTCACTGACCAAAACATACCTGTTCTAAAGTATCTTCCAAACTCATTTTCCGGTGAGTAGCTTTTCTAATTTCTTCCTCAGTCTGGTTTATGATCTCCATAAGGGGAGCCTGTAATATGTATACAAGAAAAATCCCATTAGCCAAATTGTTAGTGCAAATTAAGAGGGATCCCAGGACATGTTTTCTTTCTCCATTTTTTATTTACACTGCTTTACCTTCTGATGACAAATTTTCTTCCAGTCGCGCAATGTGGTTATTATATGAGTGCATCACAGAAGCCTTTCACTGAAGCTTCATGGAAAGTTTAAGAGTGGCACTCTCAACACTTCCAGGAAACAGTTTGAAATATATTCTTAGAAGAGGGTTACCAGAAACATTTGGTGCACTTGATGCTACTTACCTTAATCTGAGTTCTGTATTTGACTAGGGAATTTGGTCCTGCCTCGGGATTAAACTGAATCTCAAAGTCATGGCCTTTGGAATTCTCAGCACTTATTGGAATTAATTTCAGTTTTCTAGCCAGCTTATGATACTCTGCCAGTTGTGTTTCAATCTATTTGGAGGAGAAAAATTAGAAAAATACAAATGAAAATCTTTGCAAAGATTATGGCATTTGGAACAGGTGTCTAAATTACTCTTTAGGAACATATTTCCAGGACATGTCACGGTATGCAAGAGCTGTAAGCATTGACAGTTCAGCATTTTTCATTTTTTGATGTAAGTGCAGCCTTAAGTTTCTTTCAGAGTTTGCTCTCATTCTGTAAAATGAAGAAATAAATTTGTCCCTTCCAAAGGTTTCTAATAGAAATTCCATACAAGGGACTAATTTGGTTGTAAATACATGTAGAGGTACTGATTCAAAGCACTAGTTTTGTATTACTTCCTTGATATAAGATCCTAACACAAGCAATTTCAAGCTAATGTGATCACAGCAGTTGCTACACTAACAGGGAGAGCTGATGGTAAAGCAAATTCTTGCTGTGTCCCTGATTGTGCAGAAAAACATGCATGGAGTACAAGAATACATTTATATTATGGTCAAAATAGAAAAAAAAATTTTAGAGAGAACATAAGCAGAAATCAATTTTACCATTTTTAGGCCATTACGAGACATCCATGCTGTTGTTGTATTATTTAGGCAAGAAGTTAGCAATAGCCTAAGTATGAGGTGTAATTTTGTATGATGAAAACTAAGAGCTGCCTCTCAGAGTAGCAGGATTTTCACGTACCGCCTCTTTATGTCTAGCATATTTTATCTCCTCATTCCACAGTTGATGCTGTTCTGCTTCCAGTTCCTTAGTCAGTTTGTTGATGGTTTGCTGAAGCTCATTTCTCTCATGATTTATTCTCTCTATGTCCGCAACTGAGTACTTCTGGTTATCAAAGATGTACTGGAGTCGGGCATTTTCCTGCTTCATTGCTTCTACTTCCATTTCTAAATTCACAAAGCATTCACAACACTGATGTAAAACATCAGCCTATATAGTTTAACACAATCTATATATTTTGGTGAGTAGTGATCTACATTTCCTGTCTCTAGTATACAAAAGACTATCAGACAAAAAAAAAAACTCTTTATGGGAAATTCATTTAGCAAAATTAATTTCTACAATTGCAATACACAAACTGTCTCTCTGTTGTGAAGCTGATAATTATAAAATATTTTTAAAGCTATTTCTATCTTCACCTATGAGCAGGATCTTTCTTACCTGCTGTCTCAACTTCTTCATTAACACTTTTAATTTTCTGATCAAGGATCGCTGTATGAGACTCTAGATTTTCCATATAAGCCTGGTATTTCTGGACGTCTGCTTGAAGTGAAGATTTCAGCTTTCGCAGTGATACTAAACGATCCTAGTTAATAGACAGAAACAACAACCATATGCTGATTATCTACACCAATTAGGTTACTTTCCAGACAGGACAATAGGGTAATTACAGCCAACCTTAACAGCATAAATAAAAATGTACATCTGTGGCATTTGACTCAAGTCTAAGTATTTAAAATAATAACAAAAAGAGGCTGAAAAATTATTTGAATCTTAATTCTTGTGTTTTAGTATTTGACACTTTTGATTAGCATTAGGCATCGTATAAATGAAGTTCTTGAAGCAGATAATTAAAAAGTGTTACAATAATACAAAAAGGGTAGATGAAACCAAGGACAAGGAAAGTTAGGAATAAAGAACATAGTTGGTATGAAAGCTAGAGTCTCAATTTGCCAGCTGTGCAGCCATTAACCCATTTTGAATTTAATTATATATTAGGAACAGAAACGGTCAACACAATTACTTTCCCCAAATACAAACACAATACTTTCCCCAAAATATATTTTGACTGATCGTTACCAATGTTTTCCATATTCTCATCCCTTAATTTTTTTCCTACAAATATTTGGAAGAGATATTGAAGTTCAAACGAACAGTGGTTCAACCATTTCATTAGGATTTCAGCCAATGCAAGATCTCATAATTTGAAAATATCTGCACAACTGTCAAACAAGAGGTCTTTGAAGACTCCATAAAAATGTGTTTTACTGCAGTGGTACAGTCTATAACCACTAGGGCTCATTAGAATCTTCTAGAACAGTGCAAACAATTTTCCATTTTTCATAATGTATTGTCAGTATTTTGATACAGGATATGGACAGAGCACCTTCAGTGTCCGTAACTGAACGTTAAGGGAGGACCTTTTCCCTCCTATGCCCAGTACAGAAGCACTGACACAGTTTACTCACCGGCTCACTCTCCCTTTCTTTCTCAAGTCTTGCAATCTCTTCATGAAGCCTTTTGTTTTCTGCAGCTAAACCTTCTAGCTGGAATTCATCTATGTTGAATAAATCCTCTGGAGAGGGGGGAAAAAAAAAAAGTAATATAAATTAATCTCACTGAGTATCATCTGTACTGACTGTCTACATAATTGCTGTAGTTACAGCTCAATGAATACCCATTATCTGAACTTTTTAACTGAAAACTAAATTTTACATTAGAAGTTTTCATTACAAAGCAAACGGGCAAAATACTTAAAACAAGTTTGCCAGTCACGGAATCGTACAAAAGCCTAAATCAGTGAGGTCAGTTTCCAAACGCTCATTTATTCAATACTGTAGCAATACTAGTTATTACAAGAGTTTTGATCTGTTCTAGCTTTCCAAGCCTCAGTAGGAATCTGTATATTCCTTTTTTACCCATGTACTACTCTGCATCTTGAGCCATGGTCTCTCAGCTTCCTCAGTTTTGCCCAACAACTGCATGATTACCTTTTCCTACTAATATCGTTCTGTCTGGGAATTTATGCCTCCTCTCCAACTTGCTGCTGGCAATAAAAGAGTCCTCAGTCTGCTTTGCATAAAGGACCCAGAAGAGGAGAAATAGTTTCCCTCCTTGTTCCCTATGTTATCTGTTACACTTCTGTAGACAAGGAAACAAACGACTCAAAAACATTCAGCTGTTTGAAGGCAAGCACAAGGTTTGAGTCATACTTGGGAATCCTCACGATGGGGTATGGAGCACTCGCAGGCTGTTCTCAGAGCTTTGTGAAGGAGGTGACCTTTCTTTCTCATCACATCTGCAGCCTTTAGTGAGATTTCTTTTTTTCTTTTAGAAACGAGAATGATCTGCACAGCTGGCATTTGCAAGTGATGACCTGCACACTGCTTTTCTATCATTACAGAGTCATTGAAAACAACAGGCTTACAAAGGTACAAGTGAGAGCAGAGAGTGACCTGCCTGTCTGTCCTGATACCAAAGCATAAAACAGAGAACTAAGTGTAACAGAGGAAGTTGGGAATTTCAGCTTCCCTTATCTTAGATCAGGCTTATTTGAAAACTGAGCAAATCCGATGCTAGGAGAAAAGAAACAAGTAACACAGTTAAATACTTCATTAAGACATGAAAACTTACTTAATTTTGACTGCACTTCTGCATCAAATTCTTCAAAAATATCGCTCCCTTTCATGAAGTGCTCATAGCACTTCACAATGTAGTCCATGAAAAGCTGAAAATGATTTAAAAAGCTTTCATGAAGATTCAAAAGGCTGTAAAATAATTAGACAGTCAAATCTGCACTATCAATGGAATTAAACAGAGGCAAAAATATCTTTTCTAAGCTTGACTGTGCTGCTTTCTGTAAAGTCTATTTGTGGGCAGACTTCTGGGCATCTTTTCTATTTTTTTTAATAGGGTCAATAGATGACATTCAGCCAAAAGAATGTATCTAGCATTACTAAAAAGAGGTTATAAACACTTTTTTTTTTTTTTTGATATCCAGGATAGCAGAGACATATTAAGTTTATCACCTTAGACTGTATGATTCTTTGAGTTTATAGCAGCTGTAGCTCCATTGAAGAGAGCTCTTCAGTAAATATGAGTGCTATACTTCAAATGTACTGATATCAGAGATTTAATATTAGAATTAAAAGCAGGCTACCCAAAGGGCCAAAATTCAAAACTCCATTTTAATTAGATTTTTTGCAATTCACTTTGCAGTTCACAACCTGAACACTGAATGTTAAATCTGGAAGGAAGTAAACTGCTGCATTTTTTAGCATTTGAGTTAAATTCAATACATCCACCATTTTTACCTGCCAAACTAAGATGTCAACTGAAGCAGTTACTTTTATGTAAGTTACATTTATTTTACCATGTTTAAATGGTTTAGTTGCAGGATATAGCAAAATTCAACCAAAATTCAACTAAAATATTCAAACAGAATATGACAACCAGTTACTGTTTTACTGTACCTTATTATGTACAATTCCATCATCTGTCTCTCCTCCCCAGTTCTGTCCATCATCAAACGATGGGGCATTCTCCTTTATGGCAGAATACAGCTGAGAGGCACAGATGTACATACAAACAGTAAATGTGAGGATTAGTTGATTGTTGATTACTTTTCCTATTAGTTTCATGTTTGTGATAAGCAGAGTAACTTTGGGTTGGGATTTCAGCAAGTAAGAGGTAATGGTGATGCTTCAGAGCATATCCAGATATTCACATATTCAGAGCTATTGCCTTATATTGCCTACAAGCCCAGATGGCCTTAGATGGATAGTCAGCGCTGCTGAATTGCCTCGGGTAATCATGTGTATTTTTTCAGCAAAGGCATGAGATTTTCAAGTGTGTCTAGTTTAGCAGTGCTGAACTTCTGGCACAAATTCCAAATATGGCTCAGACATGAGCTGGCAACATCTTTGGCAACATTTTATCAATAAAAATAACAAAAAACTGTACAATCACAGATTACTTGAATAGCTGCCCTAGAAAAAACCATCGTTGTGCTTTAAATTTAGAAGATGGCAAACGTCACAAGAAGTTTCTTGGAAGTTTTTTCACCAAAAATACACCTTTAATTGTTCTAAATTGTGTCCTAAAAGTGTTTTATCTTTAAATCTTACAAAGCATTATGTATATGCAATTCATGATTTCTACTTTCTCATACACAAATTTAAGTTTACTGAAGTAAATTTAAATTTACAAGTTTACTGAAGTAGGCTAAAGGCTAGTTTCATAACATCGATAAAGAATACCTACTTTTATCTTCACATAAGTCAGTAAAAAAGGTATCTTTAGAAAGCTATTGAAACGTATGGAAAGCAGCATTCTGGCCTGAAAAGCAGAATTATTTGACTTAAAGAAGTCAGACAATACCTTCACACAATCAGTTAACCAAACCAAAGCTGCAACAATCTGAGGCCATGTGTGTGGCGCCCCCACCGTATACATGGAGCTTTTTGACAAAGGAAAAGTGTACCTACAGGAGAGAAGAAAACACATTTTTAATAGCTGTGGAAAAAATGTGAGTAAAGCTAAAAAGGCAAAATTTTACATGTAGGTTTTGAAGCACGCAAGGCAGAACAAAGTTAATTGCACTTTCTACTATATATCAAGAAGAGATAAGCTGAGTCCTTATAGCACAATTCCGTTGTGATGAGTTTATCATTCTGGAAACAAAGATATTGGTATCTGCTGCATGTGTGAAGATTAGGAAATATTAGGACTTCATACAAAATATACACTATTTCTTTATAAACTCCTTTGCCCAAATGCATATTCCCCTTCCTAGTTGGCTTATTATGTTGCTTTGACTCTCTTGGTACCAGTTACCTTCAGATCAGTTCTCTTTCACGTTCTGAAGCTCCCATGGGAAGAGGGGTGTACACAGCAGGACCAGCAAAGATGAGTGGGAGGCTTATGAATGTGTGATAAATAATAATACAGAGACCTGAAGGGTAAACACACACAAAGTATGGAAAAATAGTCCAGTGGGTGCCTAGCCTCCATTCAAACTGGACACACAAGCCCAAAGGATTTCCTAACAGGCAAGGAGAGAAACAGATGCAGAAGCCCTGTTGTTACAGGGCGAGATTCTTGCTTCTTGGGGTCAAAAAGTGCTTTGATAACAAAGAAAATTTCTGCTGATTAGCTTAGTATTATACAGTAACAGAAAAGGTACCATTTCAGAACAGCTACATATCAAACTATCAATGTTACTTATAAGTATGGAACACACAGATACTATTCTGCTTATTACAGATGTGCGAAGCCTTCTGAAATGCAAGGAACAGAAAAGTGCAACTTCAGATGCACAGCTGCACAGTTATTTTAGAAACATAGGACAGAAAGCTATAATAAACTGACAGTTCAAAATAAGCACTTACAAACTTAGCTCGCGGATTTTTTAAAAATAATTATTTATGGCTATTTTCTAACTCCCACAAGATTTCTTAAAGTTAGTTCTTAAAATATTTCATTTTATCAAAGATTACACAGAGCAGGGCAAGGTCCCTTGAGAGCAACTTTCTGTTCAATGATTCTGCTAGATCAGCAGTTTGAAATGTTATAGATTAAAACAGCTTTCAAAAATACTGAGAAGTGAACAGACATACACAGCTAAGAAGACCTGGCACTATAAAACATAAACTAAGTACATTGTCACAGAAATCTCTGACATCATGGGCTCAAAGAAATCTAGAGAGGAAAAATATTAGCATAAAATAGCATAATAAAGTGACAACAATGATCTTACCCAAGCTCTTTAAAAACTCTTGGAATTTCCTCTTCAAATTTTGAATCAGGCAGCTCATAAGAAGGGCAGAGAAATCCATAGATAAAAGTGAAGATTTTTAAGAAATCCTTAACAGATGGAGACTGTAGTGACTTCATGGAGACATTATGGGCATAACCATTCTCAACAAGAAACTGAGAAAAAAGAAACATTAAGTAGCAGATCAGCCAATAGATCAAATTCAAAATTGAAGCCATGAAAAATAAATATTTTGATCAGTATTATTTTTACTTAGAAGTTTAAAATATAGTTTAAATTAATAATTAAAAATAATATTTTAAAATAAATGTTTAAAATTAACAGGTTACCTCACAAAGCTGTTTGATGCATTGTTGAATGTATGCCTTGTCGTGAAGCGGCCTGGGATCCTTGATCTTCTCTGTACCAAACACACCATACTGACTGTTGCGTGAACCTCCAACGCTGCTAGTTCTAACAACCAAAGAAGCATGCAGTTCTTGTAACAACATCTATAGCCAAAACTTCAAGTCTTTTTAAGGCTATACATTTGCTATCTTTATGTTTCGTGTATACCCAAAGGTTTCTCCTTAATTAGAAAGACAGAAGGAAAACACTAATTCAGAGCAGGTGAAGGCCCCTTACAACACTGAGGTGACTACATCCTAGGTGAACATTTTGTCCAGTTCATATAGAGAAATAGTTTTAAAAGAGTGGAAAAATTCCCCTTAGGTGAAGAAACAAAATGTTGCAGTAGGTTCATCAAAGCTTAAAATACTTAAGGAATAATCTTTCTGCAAAAGGACACCTGTGTTTTTCTGAGTGAAGAAGGAAAATCTAAACCTAGGAAGCAAGACTGTCAGGAAAACTCTAACAAAATCCGCATATAAAAACATCTCTCAAGCTTTATTGATGAAGAACCTGCTTCCTTAAATAAATGTCTTGAGCTGCCCTGAAAGTTATGTAGTGCATGTCATTCCCAAGAGGAGGAGTATCTCTCAGAGTTATTCCTCCTCTGCTGCATTATTGTTTGGGGATCAACAAGGGGAGGAAGAAACACCTCCTCGTATCCATTTGTGCCTACAACGGACAAAAATTACAATGTGTTGTAGAACTGCTATTGTTAAATTTACAGTACAGAAATATAGAGGCATCGATACCTTTTGCCAAAAAAGCTGACTTTTCTTTCAGAAGTTCCAGATGTAGGTTTGCTCATGCTCAGCTTCCCAAATGTTCCTCTGTCCTTCCTGGGGGAGAGGAGGAAGGATACAAGTGACTACCGCTTCTACCACTCCATCTTTTGCTTACATAAGAAAACTGTAACATTGACATTTAAATCTAAGCATCTTCAGCACAGCAGCTTCTTGGTTATTGCAACTGGTTTTAATACATTATTGTATATTATCAAAATATTTCTGCAAGAAGTTTTATATGCATACTTTTTTTGTAAGTATACAAACATTCAGATATTCTCCAACAAATATGGAGAATTTGGAATAAAATGGAGAATATGGAGAATATGGAATAAAATTCCAATTTAAATTGTCACGATCATGCCAGTAGATTTAAATCTTACATTTCAAAGTAATTACATACCAACCATACTGCATATGCACATAGATGACATCAGTTCTGACATTTAAAACTTCTAATATCAAAAAAAGGTTTACCAGACCTAAAGAACTTTATACTCATATTCCATAGGTGCAACGCACACTTTTGATGTAATCAAAGAAGGCTTTGAAGAACTGGAGCACATATGCAAATATCCTTTGCTTCAGGCGGTTTTCTTCCTGCTGCTCCCATCTTTCTCAGGTGCTACAACCCTACTCGTAAACACATCACAGGAAGTCTCTTCGGGGGTAACTTTATGGACCCCTCCTATCAACGCGATCAGTAGCACTTACATCTGAGGTGTTTGGAGACCCATCTTGTTGGTGTCTTGCACTCTCAGCGCCATCACAGAGAGCCGACTGCTGCTCCCGCTGGTACTTGAGCTTCGTCTCATCGTGGCTCAAGAGCAAAACGCTGTCTCTCAGTAGGGGCGAATCTAGGATTTAAGAAAATTCGCCTTTCGTAACACCACAGTGGCTTTGTGAAGAGTCAGGCTAAGCAAGTGGAATTGTATGTTAGACCAGCAACTGTGTGACAAGCCAAGAATGTTCTTTAAAAGTTCTTTTTTCTTTCTTTATTTTTAATCAAAACAAATAGCTTCCAGCTGCAAACAGGCATGCTACCTGAATTTTCAGATATACACTGATTAAGAGGTGTATGGTGCATGTCTGATTTGGGAACTAGAGCAGTAGAGTTATTTAAATTAACCATTTCACAGATGAAAGGCAGTGCTTTCTCCAAACCAACTGTTTTATTTTGGGGCATTTCTAGTTAGGTACTAAAAGCAAATTGGCTGATTGAATGCATTTTTTTTTCTATTTTGATTAACTGTAGAGGAGACCACATTAACTATCATTTCTATCACTTCATCCATCACTCAGTTCCTTAGCTACTACCTTTGAACCTGCTTTTCAATCCTGTGAATGATTTGAGAGCATTATAGAGAGCACAACACCTGGGAAGTCTATTCTGAATTAATATTATGGATACCTTTCAACTAAGGAGAAGAAAAATGCAGTCAAACTGGGAGAATTGAACTTTTCTCTGCACTGTCATTAGGTGGGATTTTCAGGAAAACAGAACCCACTTATTTGACAAAAAAAAAATAGCACCTGCTCTGCAGAGAATGTACATTATTTGTGGGCTAGGGTCTAATGACTGAGCTAATAGAAAAATTATCACGAGAAGGACTACCAAAACAAAATCAACAAAAACTGTTTCACGATCATATTTCCAATTATTGCAAACATGATATAAATTTGACTTGTTAAGTCCACTTTTAATGTGAGCTTTAAAGAAAAAAAATAGGGAGGGAAATCTCAGCTGTCACCTAGTTTTCATGGCAGGAGGGAAGAAGGGAGGGAAGCTACACACAAAGGTATTTACACGAACAACAAATCACTAGCTCACAACTACAGTTATGAGCGTTTGCTTGAGCCAGCGCACTCGAGCAAAGCTAGGAGCAAGGCATTGTTGGGCACAGCTGTATCCAGTTGCTTTCACGGGAGGTTAAATTGTTGCACGGGGAGGACAGGGGCGCTGCCGCCGCCGAGCGCAGGTAACGCGGGCCGGGGCAGCGTTTCCCAGGCCCCGGCACGCAGGGCAGGCAGCCCCCGCTGCCGGAGCCCCTGCTCGACTTTCCATCACGCAGCTCCCAACTCTGGGAGAGAAACAACCCTTTAGGTCCCCGACAAGGCGCCCGTCAAAGCCCCCTCTTCACCGTTACCGTTAACGACGCCGCAGCGGCTCCTTCCTCCCAAATTTCAAATCCGCCCGCCAGAGACTACGTCAGCAGCGCGCCTGGGCGCATTGCGTCACAGCGCCGCGCCGAGTGAGAGCGGAAATGGGGCGGGGGGAGGAGGTTTGTTGTCGCTTCCGCTGGCCGGGCTGCCATTCACACATATACACACGTCATACGCAGAACCGCGTGTAGGGTTTTTACATGCGTACGTATACAGAAAATATTTTTCTTACGGCCGCTCTTCCTTGGGCAGGAGAGAGGGGAAAGGCCTTTTGAAACCGCGCTGGGCTCCCGCACAGGTGCCCCCGGAAGGTATCGGCAGGAGAGGTTGCCGTACAGCAAGATGGCGGCGCGCAGTGTGGGCGCGCTCCTTGCAGGTGAGCGCGGCCACGGCGCGTGCGCGGGGGCTGCGCCGGCTCCGCGGCGGGAAGGGCGGCGGAGCCGCGTGGGGGCGGCGGGGGTGGCCGCGAGCAGTATCAGCGTTACCGGGGTTCGCTTCTCCTGCCCGCCTCGGGGCTCGTGGGGAAACGCAGCCGTTAGGCTCTGAAAGCAGCTTTTTCTTTTCTTTTTTCCCTTGTTGTGAGGAGTTTTGTCAGCTTGAACCCCCCCCCCCCCCCCACCCCCCCCCCCCCCCCCCCCCCCCCCCCCCCCCCCCCCCACCCACCCAAACTCTGTGTTTCTCTCTAACAGCTGTAAAACTGCTTAACGAGCATCGGTCGCACAGACAGTTCTAAGGCTCCTATGCCTCAGTTTGCACAGAAACAAGAAACCAACTTGCTTTCTCAAAAATGAGAGTCTCCAGAAATACATAAGATGCATAAAAACACGATTGCCTTGCTCAGCAGCACGTGAAAACTGCTCGTGTTTTTGCTCCTGCATCTGGTGACACCAATTCTAAGACTGTACTATTTGTTGTGGTACCACAACACATTCTAACCCACTAATGGAGTGATCTTAAGAGTAGTTTTATACTAGATAAAGAGCTATAAAATCTATCTGCTGTCAAAAAGACGAAGTAAGGATCCTGCAGAGCATAATGGGGAAGCCGGGTGAAGGCAGAAGTTCCTGCCGAGCGGTTGGTGTGTCCTGCACGTGCGTGGAAATGCCTTCCACAAGATGGGCACTGTAGGGCTGAACAGTGGTAATTCTGAACTCAGGAAAAAAAGAGTCACTAGAGAGTCATCAAGGGGCCAAAAAGAGAAGGGTTTGCTCCAGAGGTGAGCGTGAAGACCCGCTCCACTTCCTGGGAAAGGGTGTTTCTTCCCCTGCTGGAAAGGGGCTCTAGGATGTCCGTGGTGCAGCGGCTGGGAGCAGGGTGGCTCCTGGATCACCTCTCCTTCATCAGCCGCTCCGGCTACGAGACGCACGGCTCCCTCGTGCATCCTCCTCGAGGTGCTCTCCATCCCTGTGACCCCGCTGCCCATGCGACTGCCTGCGCGTCGGGGGATGATCCCGCGCCTGGAGGCGCTGTGGAACTGGAAGGCAGAAGAGGAAAAACTAGATACGTGTTTCGGGAAGAGTTCTTTGATGTTTTCAAGCCGCACATAGAGGCTGCCGCTCCGGAGCGGCTGTGCCAGGGCGGCTTGAATGGGATCCCCACGGACACGGGCGGCAGCCGGCTGGAGCAGCAAGGAGGAGCCCGCGCTGACGCTGGAGATCGTGATGCTGGCGCGAGGAAGGTGCGTTCTCCCCAACACTGTGGTCTGCCCTGGCATTCCCTGCTAAATAACCTCCCGCTAGCATCACCTTGCTGGGGTTTGTCTTTGAAGTTGTGTAGGAGAGCGTCAACTTCGCAGGAGAAACAGAAACATTTCCATGGTGATTTTAAGGATCCACATATAACACAAGTGTTCACGAGGATGTCCTTATCTCCTTTATGTCACTGTTGTGCATCCTGTGATTTGTGTGTAGTAGGTTGCTTGCAAACTATCCTGATGTTGCTTGTGGTCACAGGGATTTAAACCTGTCATGATAGTCCATATTAACAGAGCGTATGAGTTTATTTGCAGTATGTTGAGTGTTCAGTATTGTTCCTTATGGACCAACAAAATTTAAGGGTCAGGAGTTTCAATCAACAAACATGATTATGAAGACCAGGCTAATGTTCCCTTGTTAGTGATAAACTTCATCTCACAGCTAAACGGGTATCTACTAGTGTGAGCTCAAGGCAGACATGAGAACCATCTGTTGTGTGTGCTAGATGCCATTAGATTCCAATGCCTGTGAGCAATTTTAAATAACTTTGTTAAACTCTTGTGTCTTTAGAATGCCTGCAGTAGCCTAGAGATTTTGAAATTTAGTTTTTTTCTTGATAGATTTATACTTGTGATAAAGAAACTTTTTTTTTTCCCAATTTTATGACTTGATATGTTATTTAAGTAATTTATTTTTATATGTTTTTTCTTCTGAGTATTGTGGTTTGTTTATTTTCACTGTTTGTTTATTCTGCAGAAACGCAAAAGGAAATGTGTGTTCAACCAGGGTGAACTGGATGCGTTAGAATACCACACAAAGGTGAGTTTGAGCAAAGGCATATTTTGCAGGTACATGGTAGCAGCAGTATATGGAATGCAGAATGTGATTGCATTTGAGTCCTCTTCTTGTAGCTTGTTCCATTAACCAGATGGTCACCTCTCCAGTCCCCAAATGAAATATTTCACGTGTAGTTAACATACAAAACAGATGTCAGACTGCAGCTGAGAAATTTCGAAGAGCTGGAAAACATGTTCACAGAGTGTCTTTAACTGTTATGCCTTACTGAACATTATATAGTGATGAATTTTGCTTTGAACTGAACATCGTGAACTTTTCTGAAGATAGAGTCATCTTTGGGATGTCAGTGTACTGTGTTGGGTTTATTCTATACTGCTGTGACCAGAAGTGCTCCAACATGTCTCACCTCCACTAGTGAGAAAGAATTTTCCACCTTTTGATATTTATACAAATGAATCATCATAAATTAATTAGAACTTGGGTCTTTTTCCTGGGCTCATGTTTGTGGTGTACTGGTAAAATTATTACTAGTAAAGCATAATAATAAGGGTTGGAAGGGACCCCTATAGATCATTTGGTCCGACTCCCCTGCTCCAGCAGGGACACCAAGAGCACGGGGCACAGGGCGGCATCCAGGCAGGGTTGGAAGATCTCCAGAGAAGGAGACTCCACAGCCTCCCTGGGCAGCCTGTGCCAGGGCTCTGTCACTCTCAAAGGAAAGAAGTTCTTCCTCACATGGAGATGGAACTTCCTGTGTTGTAACTTACATCCATTATCAATGATCTCAGTATTTAGCAAAGTTCTTTCTTCCAGTCTGTGAATTCAAAATGTGCTTTGTTTCATGTCTTATTCCCCAGTATAGATGTTTGAAAGACTGTTTTCTCTTGCTTTGTGTCTTCATACAGATAAGGAAGCTGATTTGGGAAGGCACTTTGCATTTAGTCCAGGAAGGACTGAAAAGTGGGTTTCTTCACTGCACTACTGCAAAACTCGATTGCAGCAAGAATGTTGTTCCAGGACCCATTGGCTGTGGGTTGGCTGAGTTATGTGAAAGAGCAAAGCAGTTTCCAGCTATCAATGACAGTGACCATGAAGCTATACGAGCAATAGATGATGAAACCTTCATTTCAGAGCAGGATCTGCATTCATGTGTTATCGAAAACAACTCAAGCTGTGCAAAGATGATTATGTTAATGGGCCAGAAGTACTTGGTGCCACCCAGAAGCAGTTTCCTTTTATCCGATATTTCATGTTTACAGCCACTGCTGAATTGTAAGTATATTTGCATACTCTGCTATGTAAGTGTTCTTTGTAGTAGTTGGGTAGCTAAAACCTTATTTTTTAGCCAGCAGATTTAATGTATGTTTTGTTTTAAAAATATGTATTTTTTTTCTAATTTTCCTTTTCAGACAAGAAAAAATATGATGTAATTGTGATGGATCCACCATGGGAAAATAAATCTGTTAAAAGGAGTAACCGGTAAATTTTACTATAAATTTGCATTATGCCTTTTAAAACAGAAACTAGATTATCTTTACTTACACACATTTTACTTCAGCTTTTGAGTATACTGACACAATCCAAAACTGTATATGTGCAAGACTGTAAGTTAAAATAGCAAATATTTTGTCATATGCCTATCTTTTAAGTCTGTAAAATGTCATGGGGATGTCACTGAAATGTTTTCACTGAATTTGTTCACTGAAATGAACCTAATATTTGCAAGATTGGATCTTGGATTACCCACTTGGTGAGAGACTGTTAGAGATACTTACAAGAAAAATCTGGAGTCAGTTCTTGGTCCTGGGGGACCTTCAATGCTCATTTTAAATCAAGAGTTACTTTAGTGGCCATAAAACTCCACACTTACTTACTTACACTAAAGTAAATGTAAGTATTTCTAGGACTGAAGGAAGATTTAGAAGTTTGATTTAGAATTTTAGGTCTTTTTCTGTCTATTGGGAAGAGGAGGATTTTACTGCTGCATTATCACTTTTCCTCAAGTGTAATAGGAGCTGGTCCTGAGTACTGTGGTTTATGAATTCATTAACCTGAAATTTTCTGGGCCTCTCCACTGAGTCACATCAAGTTTATGTCAGTAGGGCTCTCCTGACTACCACAAAATTGCGTCTGTGTGAAAGAAGGGCAAGCAGAAAATATGGCCCTAGAACTTTCTGGAATAAAGACACTTTTTGTCTGCTTTTTCTGTACCTATTGAAACGTTATAGAAACATAATTCAAAGAAAGAGATTGATTAGCAGGTCTTGCTTTGAAAGCCCTACAAAAGTCTCTAGAAAATTGGAGTAGAATGCATTGAAGTTTCATTCTTAACTATGCAAATAACTAAGGAAAATTTTAGCTATTCATAGGCATGACACAGACAGCCTGTCCCTCCTTTCCTTACAAAACAGAGCCTGAAGGTGGCAGAGCTGCCTACTACTACCACGGTCCTGTCTTGCTGTTTAGACACTAAACTCGATCAGATTCACTTGCTAAAACAAAAATCCATTTGTGCTTTCAGCACAGAACTGCAGACAGCTGCTCATTCAGTCACAGATATCTCGACTGACTGGTGGCTCACCTTTTCTCGGATACTAAAAGCACTGAAAACTGAGATAAATATGTATGTTAGTAAGAATTTTTCATTTCACTTACGTTAGAATTATGGCTATGCGATGCAGGAGAATAAATGTTTTAAGGGTTTTGTTGTTGTTTTTTATTGCTCTGCTTTTTTACCTTCAGAACCAAGGAGAATATCCCTCTTACCCTGTGTTTTTGCAGGTGCAGCTCCACAGATGCCCAAGAGTCTGTTGCTGCACATGCTAAGCAGCAATTCTGTGTAGTGCTAGAAAAGCAGCTACCTTATTCATAGATATTCCCCCCCCCCCCCGCATAACCCAGATGTGAAACACTTGTTTTCTCTAGGATCTAGTCCAGAAAGTATTGCTGGGTTTTATCTGCCCTCCTTATTTTTGTCCCTGTTCTCATAACGGCGTTGTACGGGGATCCTCAGTACCCAGCTGATGGGTTGTGGATTCCAGCAGGCCACGAGTCACTGTCCACTAATGCTGCAATGTGCATAGGTTCCCACTAGCTCACTAATAATGTAGAGCAGCAGAACAAGAGCAAATGGTAGAGCAGGACAGGATCCAGAGAAAATGCTACAGTCACCACCATAGAGCAGAGTTAACCCGAAAGTATGGGGAACTGTTCTGAATAACCCAGAGAAGTTTGACAGTGAGTGGTAACTTCGAATCCCGAGTGACTTTTGCAAGAAATGATTACTCTTTTATGACCTTTTCATTCACCAGTCAAATTAGTGTTGCACTTGTAAGTGGCTCCCCTGTTATTTTTGCTCGGAGGAGAGATTATGTATTATGAAAAGTGAACACGGTTATGTGGACTCCAGCAAAAAGAGCTACTTCAATTAAGTAGCTTTGTTATGGCACAAGGTGAGAGTTTTGAGTTATAAGTGATAGCTCTTAAATTAAATGTGGTCTTTTAGGTTTCCTCAGAATCATAATTTTCCCCCAACAAATTATTTGCAGAAATGGAAGAGAAATCTGTAGATAAAGATTCTGCTCAGGAACATTAGGTACAAACACTTAAGATTTTTTTTTTTTTGGGCGGGATCCAGCAGATTTAGCCACTAGGTGGCATCCTGTACCCATCATTGCAGGATCTTTGTGCTGTTGGGAGGTATCTCATGAAGTGTTCCAGACACGTAATTTCTTTATCCCCTTTTTATTATTTTCTGCAATGTTTATGTTATTGATGTATGATAACTTGCTTTCTCACTGTTTTGGCACATAGATATGGCTACTTGTCTTCATGGCAGATCAAGCAGATTCCTGTGTTGGCTCTAGCTGCTCCAAATTGTCTCGTAGTCACGTGGGTGACTAATAGACAGAAGCACTTAAGGTTTGTTAAGGAAGAACTTTATCCTCATTGGTCTGTGAAAACACTTGCTGAGTGGCACTGGGTAAAAGTAAGTTCCCAACTGCTTTTATTGCTTTCTTGGGGACTGAGGAATGGAAAAAAAATCTAATTAAAAAAAAAAAAAGGATGTGAGAAGTTTTCCCTGTGTATTTTTAACTCCTTTGTGTTAGATTACCAGATCTGGAGAATTTGTATTTCCTTTGGATTCTTCCCACAAAAAGCCCTATGAAGTTCTTGTATTGGGGAGAGTTCAAGGAAGCGTAGAGGAAGCCTTAAGGTATGACAGACTATTATAGTAAATGTGTTTTTGTGGGGTGGGCTGCTAGGATTCTCTTTGTATGTGTCACTGGTGTAATGGTGTAATACTATGTAATGTCCCATGACCTTGATGTCATCTTCTGGTTGATTTTTTTTTTTTTTTTTTTTTTAAACTAGAAAGAATGTTGCTAACTTTGGGATGAGGAAAATTCTCTAGTGAGATTAAAGGGTGGAAATAGTTTGCAGTTTGTTCTTACATGCACCTGTATTGGGGAGCTGGCTCACATATAGAGCACGAGGGCAGAGCGTCTTTTGTTGGCAGGTTCTGTCAGACCATGAGTTCGGGATACAAGTTGAAGGTATTTTGGGGCTGTTGGTGCTTTTCTGCAAGTGAGATCCAACAGATGTATGTTGGTTGATCTTCCTCTCTTCATATGGTTGTTGTTAGCCTTGTATCCTTTAAAGACTCAGTGATTTCATAAACTGTCCTTTTAGTCAAATACTTCCAACATTTCAGCTGAGCAACTTTAACTTCTGTCAGATGTATCCGAAGTTTAACTGCGAATGAATGAGCATTCTGTATTTTATCTCCTATCTGAACTAGCTCCATGAAAGCCTCAGACTGCCTTTGTCGTATTCATTCTTACATTCATCTTGTCCTGGTTTGTGCAACAGGAAATCTGAAGAGGTGCTTCCAATTCCAGACCATAAGTTAATTGTCAGCGTACCCTGCAGTCTGCATTCACATAAGCCCCCTCTTACTGGTATGTTTTTGATAATGCTAAAGTATAATGCTTCTGTAGGACATTTCACTTGGGTATCTGAAATGAAGTACCTAGAATCAGGTGTCTCTGAACATGAAATGTGACTTTCCGCATGCCAAGCACTTTTGCTCAGTAGGGCTGGTTGATCCTCAGCATTTCTAAAAATGTCAGGCACCTAATTCGTTATCTCTGAAAATGAGTGTGAAGAGTAGAAATTCACTGTGTGAGTCCTTGTGTGAATGCTTGGATAGGCAGGCAAAAAAGAAGTCGCTTATTTATTTATGTTTGGGAACTTGCAGGAATGATTATAAATCAGTATGGAGGAAGGTATCTCAAATGACTTACCTTCTTGGGAAAAATGTCCATGGGTATATATAAAATTAAGTATCTCTTATATAATTCACAAAAATGTTCTTTCTTTTAATGTCATGATGAAAGAAATTTCTTTATATCTGCATGAGTTGCTTATATGCTTGCAATACAGATGTGCCTTTAAATACAAAAAAAAACCTAAATTTTTTTTAAAAACTGCTAACAATTTGCAGAAAATAAATCATACCTAATTAATTTCCCAGAAGCCTTATTTATTTAACTGGAATCGATGCAGTGACTTAGTCAACTAGTTAGAATGAGTATGAATAATTGCAGCTTTTCCCAGGGTTTAGTGCAAAGTATTTAGAAGTTTTTGTATCATGCATTTCTATATACACATTGTTATGGAGAAAATCTGCTTTGGGCTACTTTTTCCAAGAGAAAAAGGTGCTACTCTCAGGTAGTCATATTTCTTTTTCATCATCATAGGCACCCGAGTGCCTTACAATGATATAGTAAGCAGCATATTTAATACTTGTTTTTCATCCTGTAAGGGAAGAATTTTCCCCCGAGGGGAGAAGTCTCAGCAGATCTACAGTTATTCCAGATGCATGTGGTGCTATATATTTATGTCAAAGAAAGCATGTAGAAGAAATGCACACTGCTGTTAGAGGAAGGGAGTCGTAGCCTGTGGCTGGCCCCGAGTGTGTTCCTTTTGTTGCACTGACAGGCTTTCCTTAGCCAGTTCCCCAAAATAAGCCTCAGTTAGGATGCTAGTTCTAACGGTTGTTTTAATACTTCCAGGGAGGGTTTAAAATTTGTATTTTGGGCTTCCACATATATACCTATTCCAAGACATGTAATAGGTATATATTTTATTAAGTTTAAAAGAACAGTTCCAGGAGGATTTGCCCACTGTTCTGTCACTACATCTTTAAGAATTAAGTTGTGTGCAGTAAGTATGTGTGTTGCTTTAAACTGAGGGTAGGATAGTGATTTGTGAGGCAGCCGTGGAGGGCCTGTTCAGAAAACTTATACCTAGAAATACACTTGGACACAAACAGGAAATTTGTGAGATATCCAAGGGTGCAACAAAGCAGCTTGTGTATGTTATAGAGATACCCAGAGATATAGAGAGAGCTAATGCCAGAATAGTCCTTGGGATTGTTCCTTTTTGTGGTACTGAATCTAGAAACGATATTGATGTATCCCTTAAGTCAAACCCTTGAATGAGTTTGAAATAAACGTTGTGCAACTTTTATGTATGTGTTTCTTGAGTCTCCAGTTAAATGTCAGGATTTGATATCATTGTGCAGTATTTATATATCTAATAAGTAAATTTACTTCTGAACTGCTTCAATGATTTGCACATTTTAAGAAAAAAATACATGTTCATCTACATCATTGGCAGCTTCATTCAGAATAGGATCATGGAATGAAATGTAGACCATAAAACAAAAGCTACTAGCTGATACTCTGACTTCAGTACTGTGAAGGGTGTCACTTTAACGATCAATGTTCTTGGCCACTAGAGAGCAGCTGAGCTACGTCCTAGTGTGGTTCAGAGGAAGTTTGAACAGAATCAGAGGTTTGGCAATGAGGGAGAAGGACACTTGATGAGTCACTCATGTTCTTTATGCTTTGTTTAAGTAGTAACAAAGCCAAAAATATTAGTGCTTACTGATCCTGCCTGGCACTTTTATTTCTTGTTACTACTATAAAGGCTGTATGTTGGTACATATGTAGCCACTTAATGACTGGGTATAATAGTTTATCTCTCTCTGGAAAGAGGAAGATGCAGATTAAAGCAAGCCATCAAAAAGGGACATTTGGGTTCCTGCGGTGCATTTAACTCTGAAATTGCGACTGTAGGGGGTTTTGATGCATGTGCTGTGTTTAGTGCTTAGAGCTTTAATATGTCATTGTAAATGTATTTAAACTGCTTTATGCAAATGCATTAAAATGAAATTTTATCACTCATGGGTTTGATTCAAATAACAGCAGGTTTTCTTCCTAATTCAATTCAGCATTGCTCTTAGAAGGCCTAGAAGGTATTCTGTAACATAGACATGAAGCAATATTGAACTTCAAATTTCTTTTCCCTCCTTCTTCTGCCTTATAGATTTATCTTGTTATAGCTGTCTCACCTCCAAAATTTAATGCATTTATTGCTAGAAGTAATATGTCCATGTAGAAGTATGCCCAAAAAACTTAGGCTTAATTCTAGGTCATTTTCTAGCCCCTTTATGTTTTCCAGCAAAAGAGTACAGTGGGAAATAGTGGTAAACCCCCTTGGGAAGTCTGAATCTGAGTGAAGTCTGAGCCATATTAGGCTGTGTAATAAATGTTTCCTGGAAGTAAAAAGAAAATGTATTTTGTTTTTCTTATGTACCTTGTAATGTTTCTATTAGAATTATCTGTGGAAGTACTGACATGTTGTTTAACTTGAAACTCAGGAAAGATGCAAGGCTGCTAAACCAGTTATTTTGCCTGAGCTTCTCATATTCTTTTTCTGGTCTTACTCCAAATAGGGATTAGACAAACTGAGTAATAAGGGCCTCCACACTGCAAACTCCTTGGAAGGTGTACTACAAAATGTTCTCCCTTGAAAATCACAGTTGCTCACAAATCGGACAATAAAAAGCCAACAAAGTAATTTTCACTTTATATACCCACTTTGCTCTTCAGAACTTGCTGTGCAGATAATGGCAGTTCAAAAGATAAGGTGAAGCAATTGCTTGTCTCAAAAATAGTTCCTTGCTTTGGTTTATAGAGCATTTTTGACAGCACACCCCTTAGGTGCGTGTTTGGGGTGTAGCAGGCATCCTGCCTGACGTCCTGCTTGCGCCCCAGAAGAAGGTGGGGGGTTCCCAGAAGACCCAGGTTGTGTCTATTGGCGTGCACTGGCTCTGCGTAGCCCAGAGCGTTAGATACCTACGTGCCTGAGTTGCCCTCTTAGGGCTCATAACACCTGCAAGTGATCATGAATAATATGTTTAAGCCACTTACTGTTAGTTTTGTCGGTAAATGAAAGGAGATAATTGTAAATAAAACAAACAAACAAAAACATCCCTATTGTAGAAAAATGACTATTTAATCTTCCTACTGATGCAAGTCTTCTCACTTGTTGTCAGGGGAGAAACTGCAGAGTTTGCTTAAGGGCTTCAAGTCAGATCCTTGTGTGTATTCAGATAGCCTTCTGATGATATAAAAGCCATAAAAACCCTAGCAAAAAGGCCATAATTTATAACTTAAAATAGGAGAAGTTAATGTTCAAGGAAACCAATATAATGAGATTTTATGCCAACAAAATATTGCCACATTATTGCCCTCTTGATATGCTAATTTCCATTGCAGTGAAAGTTACTGCCTGATGTGATTATGTAAATACCCATATCCAAGCAAAGAAAAATCATACTCTAATGTTATCTTGAATTATATGTAATCTGGCTCTATTTTTCCTGAAGGCCTTTTGCTGAATTACTATCTCTGGGGGTAGGAGAGAGGGAGATTCCTGGGACCTCCTTTTAAAATTCTATAATAAAAACAATTCGAAAATTGGCACAGTCTTGTTTCTTGTTGAAATAGCCTGTTCCTTGGCTATGTCTTTTTGTTTTCTGGCCAAGCAATCTTGGGCTAGATTCACTTTGAGAATAATATATCCCTGTTGCATCAACTACAGAGTGGTTTGTTGTTTGTTTTTAAATTTTCTCTCAGATGTGGAAGTGTTTTGTGCTTCGTAGTAACTATGTTTGATTACCATATTGCATGTTGAGATGATATTTTTAATCTCTACATTTTCAGAATACATATTGACATTTATGTGGTTTTAATGAAACTTTCATGCTTAAATGAGTGCTTCCTGCCCTGGATGTGGATATAACACATAAAACAATTTTATTTCATTTTTATATAGAAGGAATAAGGTCATTTAAAGTGTCTGGTCCCTGCAGTTAGCTCTGTATGGTGTTATGCCCACTCAGGTCAAAAGAGGGTCTTGAGGATGACAGGGTGTGCTCACAGAGAGTTTACTGAAAGCTTTGGAGCTTTGCATTCTGCAATATCTCTGTTCTGTTTTGTGGAAAAAAGTACATCCTCCTCCAACATGTTTTTTTCAGATCACAGAATGGCTGAGGTTGGAAGGGACCTCTAGGGATCATCTAGTCCAACCCCCTGCTCCAGCAGGGACACCCAGAGCACGTGGCACAGGGTGGCATCCAGACGGGGTTGAAAGATCTCCAGAGAAGGAGACTCCACAACCTCCCTGGGCAGCCTGTGCCAGGGCTCTGTCACCCTCACAGGAAAGAAGTTCCTCCTCACCTGGAGATGGAACTGCCTGTGTTTCAACTTGTACCCAATACCCCTTGTCCTATCACTGGCCACCACCAAGAGCAGTTTGGCCCTATCCTCCCTACATTCTCCCCTCAGGTACATTTTAAGATCTCCCCTCAGTCTTCTCCAGCCTAAACTGCCCTAGCTTTTGTTGAGTCTTTCCCCATAAGATAGATGTTCCATTCTCTGAAATTCTCTGTTCCAAGAATCGTTTGCCCTCCACTGGAGCCTCTGTAGAAGCGCCACATCCCTCTTATACTGGGAAGCCCAGAACTGCACCCAGTGCTCCAGGTGCAGCCTCACCAGAGCTGAGCATAGCGGGAGGATCCCCTCCCTTAACCTGCTGGCAGCACTCCTCCTGATGCAGCCAGGATCCCATTGGCCTTCTTGGCCACAAGAAGGTTAACTTGGTGTCAACCAGGACTCCCAGGTCCCTCTCTGTGGAGTTGTTCTCCAGCAGGTCAACCCCTAATCTGTGCTGGTGTCTGGGGTTATTCCTCCCCAGGTGCAGGACCCTGCACTTGTCCTTGTTGAACCTCATGAGGTTCCTCTCTACCCAACTGTCCAGCCTGTCTAGGGAATAGAATTTTTGTAAGACCTTTGTTATACGGTTGGCAGCAAGTTGTGCACAAGCAATCCTGAGCTAAATAGAGCATGGAGAAAGAAAAATACTACATTATTTTTGATTATGGCGAGTTTTCAAAATGTGACAAAAGGGGAAAAGTGGTATCTAATTAGTTAGACTCTTACCACACCAAGCAGCAGTGTCGCAATGTGTTGCAAGCCTTCCATCAGAACGTACATTTTGCTTGAAATCTCCCAGACTCTTCCCTGCAAAGGTTACATTTGTTTAAACCTTTTAGCTTGCTCCTGTAAGGAGCAGGTTTTTCAAATAAGATCCCTGCTGGTTTCCATATTCTCTGGATTAAAAGCTGCCTTGATGATAACCCATCTGTGCCATTTTCTTGACATTTGTTAAAAATTGGAGGAGGAAAATAGATTCATGTGGTGTATCAAAATATAAGGAAGTCTGGAAACACCCATTATGAAATATTTGAGAATAAATTTCAAGTGGGTTGATGCTTTTGAGGAAGCGGAGTTGAAAGTAGGAAACACATCTGGGGTGGGCTGCCGCCTGCTAGAATGTTAAGTGGATGCTCCTAGTTCTGTAGCAGGAGCAATCCATGACATGAGCAGCTGAGATCTAACACAGGGATTCTGTGACTGGCAAACCTGATGCAAAAAGTCAGGCTTGGATTGCACCCAAAAAAACCCCAAACATTCTGTGCTTATGCTCTGATGTATCTTGATTAAATGTGTTTCTGCTTCCTCAAATGATCAAGTTTGAAGAGACCAAGGTGAGTGATACCATGCTGGATTTATGTAATTTGAGCTACAGTCTTGCAGAAACTTCTTGGAAATTTGTGCAAAAAAAAAAAAAAAAAAAAAAAGGAATAAAATTTCCTGTGGAAAAGGAAACTGGTTTCTTGAGTTTTGTTCTTTGTCAATCACAGAATCCTCCCCATACATTGCATGTACTTTTATAGATAGGTTCTTATTTTTCTGCTCTGTTAGCTTGCTATATTCTTAAACTTTTACTTTACTGTTTTTTTTATATATATGCATACATGTATATGTGTGCATATATAAATAATATGAAAAAATGTTTTTATAGTCTTTTCTTGAAACCTTGTTAAGAATTTCTCTGATTTACTCATGAGCTAAATGGATCTGTATGGCAAGTAACCTATTTAACAAGAGCTGTATATACAATAGTACTTCTGAGGTGAAATGCAATAACGAAGGTCTTTTTCTGTCACTCCCGGAATACCAGTCATAATCAGTGACACAACTGATGTTAATGATATTTATTTAGGTTTAAGCAGTATAAATGCCCAATTATAGAAAATTTGAGATTTATGTTACTGAATGAAACAACATAGTTATACAGATATTTATTCAGTTGCCAAGTTGATGATAGGGAAAAGAGTCCTCTCATTTTTATAGCCCTTTGAGCGCTATGCTCATTTAAACTGATATTTCTTATTTTACCTTTTAAGAGTTGTTATTAATAAATACTTTAATCAAAGCAGATTAAAAGCAATTTGTGTTTTTTTTAATTCTATTTTTACTTTTTAGAATTGTTGTCTCCATGTTGTAGGAGCTGAGTCAAGTCTTTGGAAGATGTGTGGTTGGTAATAGTGAAAATTCACAAGTCATCTATGTAGATGCTGAAATAAATCCTCATTCCTTTTCTCTAAATGAAAAATGATAAATCAAGGTTATTGAAGGCCTTGACAGTATTGTTCAAAATCTCAAGGGCACTTATTTCAAATGACTTTCTGACTATAAATAGTCGAGCTGGTTGATGAAAAACCTGAAATTAATTTGCTGTCTCTCCCTTTTTTAATGAAACATTCCGTTTTTTTTTTCATCTGCTAACAACACAGGGGAGATTGTTTTTCATTTGCTTATTATTATTTTTGTTTGTACCTTTTTCATTGTTATCTTCATCTTTTTTTCTTCTCTCGCACAGAGGTTCTGGCAGAATTTGTCAAGCCAGATGCGGAACGCCTGGAGTTGTTTGCTCGCAACCTGCAGCCTGGTTGGACCAGCTGGGGGAATGAAGTTCTGAAGTTTCAGCACATTGATTATTTCACTGTTCTGCAGGATGAAAACTGACTGGAGTCTTTCAGCTTAACTCGGAAATTTCCTTCCTTTCCCCAGCATGCACTAGAACTTGCTTTTGTTACTGATAGTGCACTGGGAGGGTAAAAAAAAAAGAAGGTGAAACCTGTTGCGTTTCAGTTAAAATTTTTGAAGTGGCAGAATATTTATACTGTCTGTGTTTGTACAAGCTGTTCATTTATTCTGACTTTAGTAAAATAGTCAATTAATGATGTTAGAGTGCAAGACCATCTCTGATTCCAAACTTCTGGAAAAAATAAAAACAAAACTATGTTCTATATTCTCATTGCAGCTGTCACAAATCTGAGCATCATAAGTGTTCTAGTATCATGCTTGAGTGGCAATGCATTATTTTTAAAGCGTGACAGGAGAAGTAAATAGTTCTAAATTGGATATGTTTCCCCAAAGAAGGTTGGTGTTTGCAAAGCAATGGATTTTGAGCAAAAATAATTATAAAGACAGCATATCCTCCTACATGTTTGTCTCTGTCTACCTCTGAATAAATAACAGGAACAGTACTTGTGTTAATTGGCACATGAATTGTTGGCTGAGCACATTTTGTATAAAATTACACTTTTAAAACTATGAGCAATTCAGCTTACAAATTCTACATATTAAACCATTGTCTTTAACTGAAATTTAATAGAATTTAAATATGTTATAATTTCTGTTTCATTACTTTCTTGAAAGATTAAGTCATGCAAGTGAGTCCTATGTTTTAACTCACTTTTCTTTTTAACTTTAAGGTGCCTTTTATATGTTCTTTTAGTTCTTAAATGTATTTTGAGACTTGTGAAGCTCTGGCTGTTTTTCATTTGCAGACATAGAAACAGAATTGGTGAACAAGCTGAGCTGTGATTGTTTATAATGGGGAACAAAATGCATTGTATGCTTTTTTTTTAATTCAATTCACTTTTGGGAGTCTAATGGGCTATTAAAGTAGATGTTAGTAAATGGTCTTTTATAGTAAATTTTATAATTAAGATTAAAAACTTGTCAGTGTCTTATTTACTGACCCACTCATTGAACTACTGTTCAATGGAGTATTTTGCTTATGGGAGCATAATGGAGATTTAAAAAAAATAATCTAAAAAGAGAAAATACTGTCACAGAGTCGCTTCCAGGCAAATTTTTTTTGCATATGATTTTTATCCTACATTTTTAACAATCGTATGAGTACCGTCTCCTAAAACATGGTAACCAAATACAACTCCATGTATAAAGGGAAATAAGACTCTCTTTTTGCTTTTGGAAGATATTTAGAGCTTCTATGTTATGTAGAGCTTCTGAGTTCTCCTGTAGCCTTTCCTTCCCAAGGATGTTTCACCCACTACTAAATGAAGTTCATCAGAATCAAGTACAGTACAAATCTTGAGTGCCGTGCATGTTTTGTTTTTCCTTTTGTGCTCTTTAAAATAGCACGAGAAATTAAGATGCCATCTTTTCCGCAACTGCTCCTATGTATGTCTCTTCCTTATCTTTTAATTGCAAATTTAGAGAATCCTTTCCCCTCCTTTGAGCTCATCAGCAGAATCCTTCTAAAGGAATGATCCAAGTCAAGGCATTCAAGAATGACTGAGCTCTTTTTTTTTTTTTTTTTTTTTTTAAGACGGCATCTGAGATCA